TGTGTGTGTGTGTTGTGTGTGTGTGCGTATTTGTGTGTGTATGTGTGTGTTTTGTGAGTGTGTGTGTGTTTGTGTGTAACTATGCGTTTGAAGAGCTTTGCAGACCAATCATTTTTGTAGTATGTTGGAGTATATGTTTCCGAAATGCTTTTATTGTATTAACAGTGTATGTATGCATGAATATAATGATTATAATGGTTATATAGTATGTTTTGTTCGGCCAACCCACGTTGTGGTGTGCTTGTAAATGTCAATGTGTGTGTGTGTGTGTGTGTGTGTGTGTGTGTTTGTGTGTGTGTTTGTGTGTGTGTGTTCGTGTGTGTGTGTGTGTGTTTGTGAGTGGGTGTGTGTGTGAGAGAGAGAGACAAAAAGAGAGACACAGAGACAGAGAGAGGGGGAGACAGACAGAGAGAGAGAGAGAGAGAGAGAGAGGGGGGGGGAGAGAAAAAGACAGACAGACAGAGTGGTGGGGGTACACATCACAAGTATTATCATAGTCATAGAACATCTTAATAAACTTTATAAATATAATTCATCCTCTGTAACCTCTGTTTTACTTTAATAGTTTAGAAAACGTATAGATCTATTTTTCTAATCTAACAAGACTTCCGAGCCCGCTTTGGTATCCCAACCCGTGTACAAACGAGCCACTTCTTGAACTTCCTGGATCGCCGTCATTTGAGGTGAGTGGCCTTGTTTGTTCGGCTCGTCGTCCCATACCCTGTAATGAGGAATAACCCTGGTTCGAATTCACAGCATCGTCTGAATTCCCAGTGGAACGTTCTATGTTGTGGTTCACATCTTCAGTGGAACGTTTTTGATGTTGATGCGGTACGTTTCACTGGGGATTTTAAACAGTCATTCTCTGTTTGGTCTGGTTCGTCCTCTTTATTTTTTCAGAGTCTAACCATACCTTGATCTTCTCCCCCCCCCCCCTTCTTTTCTTTGTGTGCTTTTTGTCTCCGTTGTTACTCTCTAGTAATACCGCTTGTCTTCGGCACTTACATGTATATTCTATTATAACCTGGTATGTGTGTTGCAGGTGCGGTGAAAACTATAATGAAAACGAAAATTAAACTAGCTGTGATGCCCAGTAAACGTGTCATAGCCATAGATTTACTCTACTAGGCACGCTATTGTCGTAGCTTATGTCGGTACTAAGGCTGTCTTTGTGGGTGGTTGACGGGTGCTCTGGCGTGGTTTGCAGAGGACCTCTTTCCGATCAAACGTCTATCGTCCTTATCTCTCCTCCTACTTTTCGTGTTTGTTACTCGCTAATAACACCTATAATCTGCGGCACTTATATAAACGTATTGTGTTGCAAGAGCCGTACAACTCTTACTAAAACGTAAGGTTGTCTTCTGAGTGAGACCGCATAACGGTTTTGTTCCACTTACATCAGTAGCAATCAGGCGAAGTACATTGTGTAAGTTTGTGACTACAGTTTCAATCTTTTAAACTGATGTTTCTTAGGGTTTGCATTGGTTGGGGTGCGGGTGTTTGTTGTTGTTGTTGTTGTTGTTGTTGTTGTTGTTGTTGTTGTTGTTGTTGTTGTGTTTTGTTTTTGGTTGGGGGGGGGGGGTTCGTTTTGCTTTGTATTTTAAATTGGGGGAGGATTTTGTGTTTGCTGAGTGCTATTTTTGTTTGTTTGTTTCGTTCTTTTTTTTCTAGGGGTCTCACAATTTTTAAACAACATTCTCTTTGCCTCTTATTTTTCTCACCACCCTCCCCACTTTCCGGCTGTCGACCTATCTGTCTAGCTACCGGTTTATCTCCCTTTCTTTCATACCCACTCTATCTATTAGATCGATCTATCTCTCGGGGAGGAGAAAAAAAAATCAGGTGTGAGGCGCGTAGATGGACGGAGGGAGAAACACACATTCGTTGTGAAAAGAACGAAGATTCGTGTAAGCTTTCACGACAAAAGAAGGGATGCCCTTCCTCTGGCACTTATCGATTAAGTGTGGAAGCCATGGAGCTGTATTACAATGTGTTGTTTAAATATAGACATGTGAACTGAGAGCTATGATGTGTATGCGTGTTGTGGGAGGGAGGACTGAGTGCTCAGACTTCCACAATTCTCTCTCTCTCTCTCTCTCTCTCTCTCTCTCTCTCTC